GAAGATATTCTGATGGGGTGTGAGTGAAGGAGATGCCTGAGAGGAGAAAGTTCCATGTGTCTAGGAGATATTAGGAACAAGATTGGAGCACTGTCTCCAAGCCTACTCCAGGCCCTGCCCACCCTGGCCCAGGTACCCACTGAGTGCCATAGGGCTAGTCCAGCTTACCAGTTCCAAGTTCTGTTGGTTTCTGTCCACCCTTTACCTGCACTACAGAACCTGGTTGGGTGGGCAATGACACCTTGTAATAATGGTACATGAACCCCACTCAAGACAGTGGGTGCCTGGCCAAGGTCAAATGTGTGGAGATGACAGCATGGTCATAACTAGGCCTTGGGTCCTGTCATCCATGGGATCTCTATGAGTCCCAAGAAATCCATTTGACAGGATCCAAGCTCTCTCTACCTGCAGGACCTACTGCTAGACACACTGGAGCTTCCCAGACACTGGGGAATGTTTCTACAAGTGGGCTATTTGTTCCCTCCACTCCTGAAAAAATCAGACAGAATGGATTTCTTAGCATGCTGTAGAGAGTTGGTCGCGTGGAAAAGAGGGAGGGGGGAACAACAGCCACAGGAAACACAATCTACAGCTGTGAGTTGATGTGTTTCAAAGGGAGAGAGTGGTGTTCACAGAGTATGAGTTCTAGCATACGGTAGTAAGCAACAGCACTGTGATTCGAACCCAGGTCCCTGAACTCTTTCCAACCCACCACCCAAAGCGGGTGGTGCTCTGGCTTCTCTTCCACATTGGCACTGGTGCATACTTTAAAGGTAGGATGCCTTATTCCCATATTAAGAGTTCGAGTATTTGTCAGAGAACAGAAAACAGGCGAACTTGGTAATTAAAACCAGAATTTTAACAAGTCCAAAATTAGTTCAAATTATACTTCAGGAATGCCCAGAAATGTTCTCTTCCTCCTAGGAGACCGCCATGCCCTATCTCCTGAGGAAGAAGTATTCCCCCAACAGTCAAGGTAAGAACCACCTGCCTGCTCCACTTCCTGCTTGGTTGCTGCTGAGAAATGAACTCAGGGAGGAAGGCAGCCAGCCAGGCTCTGCACACTCCTCCCTAGTCAATGGGACCCACCCTAGGCCCTGTCTCTGTAGAACACCCCAAAAAGGCCCCTGTGCCACCCAGGGCAGTGTGTGGTGTTCTGGGTGGCTTTAAGCAAGTGCAAAGGTAGTGCTATTGTTTCCATGGTTTCAGTATAAGCAGTCCCTGCAGAAAGCACAGAATATGAGGCAGTTAGAAGACCTTGAAGTCTCCTGGTGATGACGACATCAGCTTTGTCCTGGGCACATGGAAATGCACCAGTTACATCTATCACTGTGAAAATCCTTGTTGAGAATCTCAAAGGGATGATGGTTTATTCCAGCTTGTGGTTTCAGAGGGTCGAGTCTGTGCCTCCCCCGTGGGCTCGGGTACACACTGGTGGGAGTGTATGGCAAAGGAGGGTCCTTTCTTCCTGCCAAATGGGAAGCAGAGCCCAGAAATAGACTCCTCTTTGCATCCACTGAGGTCCCAGCACACATCCAGTTTACCTGAAGATCATTGCTGGTACCCCAGGACCTCAGAGTCAGGGTTAACTTAGAGAGGGGACAATGAGGAGCTGATGTTGAAATTTGGGGGTTTCTGGAGCACCATAGTTTAATCTTAAAGGGGCAGCTTCTGCCAACCTCCGAATACAGGAGTGTGTGCAACAAGAAGACAGAGGTACGCCCCAAGTCCTCTTTGTGACTGGCTTCAAGTCCCACCCAGAGGCTGCTCACACTCAGCCTAAGGCCAGAGCATCCCACTGCCTGGCCATTGCAGGCCCCGAGTGTCCCTTTCCTGCTCTTTTCTACCACCATCTCAGTACTAACATGTGGCCAAGGCGGCTCATCACTGGGTCTTCCAGGGCCAGCGTAACACTATGGCAGGTCCTCTGGGCTCAATCCATAGGCCTACAAAGCCAGCTGAATCCTCTCCACTTGGTGCCAAGGCGGCTCATCACTGGGTCTTCCAGGGCCAGCGTAACACCATGGCAGGTCCTCAGGGCTCAATCCATAGGCCTACAAAGCCAGCTGAATCCTCTCCACTTGGTGCTGTGATCGCTGGAACAGCTCTGGGCACGCAGAGCTCAATCCCAGAGACGAGCTATGTTTACAACGCACCCTCCCAGGAATGGAATACTATCACAGCTGTGTGTCTATAAGTCAGCTTCAAAAACAAATGAGAGGGGAAAGCAGGGAGGGGGACGTGGAGGGAGGGGAAGAAGGAGGGAGGGAGGGAGGGGGGGAGGGAGGGAGTCCTGTCACAAAATTACATGGTAGAAGATACATGTGCCCCTGACCCAAGTGCCCTAAGTCCCTGTTATTCTTCCAGGGCCAGAGAGAAAAAGGGCACAAACTCCAGTTCCAGAGCAGTGACCTAAAAGCTTTGGTCCCTCCTCCTTTCTCAGTGGACACCCCCTTCATCTCTTTCCTGCTGGCCCCGCCTCCTGATCACTGGCCCCACCCTTTCCTACTAGCCCTGCCTCCTTTCTTGGCAACCCTGCCTCTTCAAGGAGAAAGAAGCATTCTGGACTGGAAATCACATAACCACTGAGTACTCCTTGCAAAGTGTGTCAAGGGTGAAACTTCTCAACAGAGCATAAGTCCAAGTCGACGGTGCTGTCCAGTGTCTGAGGTAGACAGGAATAGACAGGAACTCGTTTTGGTTCTTTGAATGATTAAGCGCCTCCCCTCTAATTTCCCAAAGGCATAGATGGTGGTTCTTTTGATCGGAAATCGGTGTACCGTGGCTCACTGACACAGCGGAATCCTAATGGGAGGAGAGGGACAGCCAGGCACGTCTTCGCGGTAATGTCTCCTCTCTCCGTGTGACCAGTCAGCTTTATGTTTTTATAATGTCTCCTCTCTCCATGTGACCAGTCAGCTTTATGTTTTTATTCTAAGTCTTAGTTGGGAAAGAAAGTGAGGTGGGAGCAGGGGTAACCATCCATCTGCAAAGTGAGAATTGAAAACATTTCTTTAAGTATCCCGAGTATAGCAAGGAGGAGAGAATGGCAGAATCACTAAGCACCCAGTTCCCAAGGGGCAGGCTCAGATCTGGAGAGGGACCAATCCAGAAGCTACAAGGCTGCTCTCTAGTGAGCCCTCAGGCCAGGCAGGGCCAATGGATCCAGAGGGTGGACCCTGAAGACCCTCATTTGACCCCTGAGGCCCTCAATTCATCAACTTGAGCACTGGACACAAGAACAACTCAACTGCCTAGGCCTCTGCACTGAACCAGGAGCATGCCCCATGGTTGCGCTCAGAAATGACACTGTGACCTGTCAGATGACAAGATTAGGGCCCTCATCTTGGAGATACTCATGTTGATGGTGACAAGTGCCCTTAATCAAGGCCTAGACACACTTTGTGTTAGTCCAATGTTCATTACTGTAATGAAATAACACTAGGCAGGCAGGCTACTTATAGAGAAAATAGGCTTACCTGACTCATGGGTCTGCAGGGTTCAAGGACATAATGTCAGCCTCACCTCTTATCAAAAGTTTGTAATGGTGGGGACATCTGTAAGGAGAGATCATTTCACCAGCAGGAGAGTGAGGACCATTCAGGAGTCACAGGAGCCAGATAAAGACTTTAAAAAGTGTGTATCTGTGTGAGGCTGTGTGTCAGTGTGAGTACATGCCAGTATGTGCCATGTGTGTGGGCACCAGCAGAAAGGCCACTGAGATCCCCTGAAGCTGGGGTTGTAAGCCACCTGGATGTGGGTGCTGAGAGCCAAACTTGGGTCCTCCGGAAGAGCAGGAAGCACTCTTAACCACTGAGACATCTCCCACCCCCATGCTTTAGTGAGAACTCACCAGGCCCCAAGAGAATGTCTTTAATCCTTTCCAAAGACCCCCAGTGACCTAAGCTCCAGCTAAGCCCTGCCCATCAAGGTCCAGCACCACACTGGTACCAAACCTCCAATATATATGAACCTTGAGCTATGCCAACCCCATATCTCTCCCTACCCCTATTTTACCAACACTGTCCAATATTCACCTCAGCTTACTTCTAGTTTCAAGGGTGAGAAGAGACCTTCCTGGCTTAATTCTTCAAACCTTGTCCAAGAAGATTGAGCTCCGAATTTATTGTTTTCTTAAAAAGTTGCCTTGGGCTGGGGGCGTAGTTTGGTGGCAGGCCGTCTGTTTAGCATGCATAAGGCCGGGAGTTGGTCACCAATGCCACAGGGAAGCAGTAGTTCTCTTGGGATGGCCTAAGTATTTTTTCAAAATGTATGTCTGAATCTGCCTGCCATCTAGGCTGAATATTAATGACGACTAGGGAAGGGTATTTCAATGCAAAGCACCGGGGTAGCCTAAGCCATTGTCCTCCAAAGTGGCCCCCACAACAGCCTTCTGCACAGGCCATAAGTCATGTCCATAGTTCATGACAATACTGTCTCTCTGTATCTTGGATCCCAAATGGGACCTCCTCCAAGGACAAGTCTCTGTGTACCATTCAGCTCTTTGCTGTCAGTTAGAATTTAATGTGTACTCAGCAAGCGGGTTTTAACTGAATTCTACACTCAGCACCAATTCTAATCAAGTTTACATAGGCCTCACATGATGGGAGGGGTGCGTCCCTCAAGCCCCCAGCTATCCACTTCTGCTTTCCTGAGCCTTTTCCAGGAGAGGCGATCTCTGTGTCCTGGGAATCTCTGCTCACACTGTCCACTGTGTTCTGTAAACTCATGTACAGAATGGGACTGAGTAAGATAATTCGGGGTGTCTATTAATTCCCTTCTCCATCTCTGGCAGAGCTGCAGCCTGGGGCAGAAACCACAATGAGTGGAGTCCACTGCCAGGCTGGCTTGTGACCAGGCTCCAGAGAGAGCTTCCATATAGGGGCTCAGGGAACCCTCCATACCCTGTAACTCATCTTCCCCGAGAGACAGAATGAAGTCAGTACCCCAATCCATCCTCTCAGTGTATAGGCCCTACTGGGGGACCCACACAAATCATGGCCTCTCATGGTCATGAACTCCATGTTTAAAGGCCAGAGTGTCACAAGGTAGAGATGCAGAAAGAGAAAGACATTCATGAGGTTGGGGAACTCGCCTTTGCTGGAGTCTGCTTGCCCATGGCAGCCAGTGTTAGGGCAGGGATCCCAAATACTCCACACTGAGGCCAGGAATGAATGAATGAGTCTGCCTGACCCTCATAGACGGAGGTGGTCATCCCTCAAGGAGAACTGAGGACAATAAAAGGCATGCATGCCAATTAAATCCTAACCAGCTTTCAAATCGAGCCCCCTGCCTTTGAAAGCTCTGGGTTTTCAAATATTTTCCATGTGGATGGGAAAACAGAGTTACAGAGAAGTAAAGAAAAAAAGGCAGCCAGGAGGTGCATTCCTTTAATCCCAGCACTCGGGAGGCAGAGGCAGGCAGATCACTGTGAGTTCAAGGCCAAACTATTTACATGGTGAGTTCCAGGACAGCTAGTGCTGTGTAGAGAGACCCTGTTTCAAAAGACAAAAAAAAAAAAAAAAAAAAAAAAAAAAAAAAAAAAAAAAAACAAACCAAGGAATGGACTAAGGCTGGTGCAAAGCAAACACAAGCAACTGAGTAGTATGTGTACATGGGAACACACAGAACCAGGGGCTTGCCTGTGTACCTGTGTACTGTGTGTACATGCACATACCTGAGATTGAGTCTCTATGTATCCACACCTACATGTGTTTTCCCTCATATATACCTATGTCTATGTGTGTACCCATGTGTCATGTACATGATGCCATGTATTCTGTGCATGTCCACATGGGTGGCAGCATACATGCCTGTGTGTGTGTCTGTGTGTACAGCACGTCTCTCTGTATCCACATAGACATATCTATGTGAATAAGCTGGTGTGTATATCTGTGCATGCCAACATGTGTGCACACGTGTGTACATACATATATCTAAGTCTGTGTCTATATCCCCCTGTGTGAACGCCTATACACATGTATGTTTCTCTGTTACATCTGTATCTGTCACATAATTGTGAGTATATTTTTTACATTGGCATGTACACTTT